AATGCTGTAGCTATTTTTAGAAATCTCACATTGGTACCCTCTTTGTGTTTTGTCAAATCTTCAGTGAAAGTGTTCTTAAAATGAACAACATGTGCTAGGTCATCATCCGAGACTGCTATAACATGAAATATATGGTAGAATGCGGGTAAAACAGAGCAGGGGACATACAGTTCTCCCCCAAGGAGTTTAGTCACAAATTTAGTTAACGCTTTTTTTTTTTTTTTTAATTGAGCATCATCAGCAATGTTTAGCAGTTCTGGCACGGAAATACCTTGCAATGCCAGCTACAAGGGTGCCATGCGAATGCCTGTTCTCACTTTTAGGTCACATTGTAAATAAGCCTACAACATTATCTCCTGTAAATGTAAACAAACTTGTTTGTCTTAGTGATTGGCTGAATAAGAAGTAGGACTGAGTGGACTTGTAGGCGGTAAAGTTTTACATTATTTTGTTTTTGAGTGCAGTTATGTAACAAAAAAAAATCTACATTTGTAAGTTGTACTTTCATGATAAAGAGATTGCACTTCAGTACTTGTATAAGGTGAATTGAACAATACTATTTTTTATCATTTTTTACGGTGCCATACAAAAATCCAAAAATATTTAATAAATATCAATTGGTATTCTATTGTTTAACAGTACAATTAATCGATTAATTTTTTTGAGTTAATCGCGTGAGTTAACTGCGATTAATCCACAACCCTACATAGAAGTTCTAAATGCCTTTGTAACGGTCCAAGCTTCTAATTTGCAGAAGTGACATAATGTGCTGGTATAATTTATAAATTGTTTTGAGGCCTGAATGCTGGCAGTCAGGGTGAGGTAAAAGCTGCCTCAGCATGGCTGGAACTTCAGCCAAAATTATAATATCTGCTTCTCGTAAGCACCTCATCTGAGGCCTCACAGACAGTCATCCACTGGAAAAGCCAGTTGAGGGGATCACTTCCTTGTACTTAAAACAGCTGAGGCTAGCCCTCTCCCCTGAGCCTTCCTCCAGCCCCCCCTTTCCACCATGCTTACCCTTCATCATCACCACCTCTGCCTCATTCGTCACCTGTGACCCTTTTAAACTTCCCACCCACGCCTTCCCTTCTCTCCTCCCTTCTGTTTCCTCCAGAATGTCTGCTGTGCCTAAGGGCATGGCTACACTGGGAACTTCAAAGCGCTGTCGGGGGAAATGCTCCTGTGGCAGCGCTTTGAAGTGCAAGTGTGGTCGCGCGTGAGTGCTGGGAGAGAGCTCTCCCAGCGCTTCTGGTAATCCACCTCCACGAGGGGGAATAGCTCCCAGCGCTGGCGCTCGGAACCTATTTACACTAGTGCTTTAAAGCGCTCTGACTTGCTGCGCCCAGGGGGGTGATTTTTCACACCCCTGAGCCAGCTAATTAGAGCGCTATAAAATGTAAGTGTAGACAAGCCCTAAAATGATCCACTCGCTACCATCCATAACCTCTTGTTTCCTGGCTCTGAGACCTAGACTCCACCCCCCACTTGACACCGATCTGTCGTTGCTCTCCTGTAGTTTCATGTGGCAATGGGAGCAGGTCTCTGGCTAGTATGAGGAAGGCGGGTGAGGTAGCAAGGGCTGAATCATAGTTACTTTTAGAACATTGACTCCTGGTTTCCTTATTCTAAAATGTTCAGATGTTTTCAATTCTAACATTCTTGTTAACACTAGTTTTCAAATGGAAATATGTTCTGAATTGAAACTGATTTAACAAAGCGGTTTGCCTGGGAATTTTAAATATATGCTACAGAATGCACTTTTATTGAGGTGGGATTTGAACACCTGCCTTCCTCTTTATACAGGGAGATGGTACTGGAGTAGCTAGTATATACCGGGGTCCCTTTGCAGATGAAAACTTCAAACTCAGACATTCTGCTCCTGGGCTGTTGTCTATGGTAAGTATAAGAAGACAAAGTAGTAGGACTAAAATGGCTCTGTGCTCCTTTGTGGAGATTCTTAGCTTGTCTCCTGGCTCGCAGAAGTCTCCTACCTTGCATAGAACGTCTGAAAAATCCTCATTTAGGGCCAGATTCTACTACTCTTAGTCATGTTGAGCAGTATTTTACTCTGTAAGTAGCTCCCATTGACTTCAGTGGAACCATTAATGGCGTAAGGTGCTAATGAACATGACTCAAGGTAGCAGTCCAGTCAGTAACTTACCCTTATCTATTAGAATTGTTGGGGTAGTTTTAATTTGCTCTGCTTGTAGAATTATTTGGTCTTACATATTTTTGCACTCCAGTTAGTCTTCTCTAACTGCTAATTTTTATTAAACACCACCCCAACTAATGTTGTCGGGGAATTGAATAGCTATAGAAATAGTGTTTGAATCTTGTATAATATATGCTCCAGGCTTCATTTTATAGAAACACAGCCACATGAGGTATGTAGGTTGGAACATACAAAATGCCATGCTGGACCAGACGAATGGTTTAACTAGTGCAGTAAGTTGTCACTAACTAGCTATTTCAGAGGATGGTACCCCCATAATAGACAGTTGTGCTGGAACATGACGGGGCAGAACCCCAGATAGTCTGTGATTTTGAAGCTGGAGAATTTGTTGCAGAATTCTCCTTTCTCAGTGTTAATTTAAGTAACCTGTTTCTGGGCCAACGCCTGGCTGCAAAGAGAACCTCGAAAACATGAACCAAGTATAATTGATGCAGTGATGTCTTCCTGAGACAGCCTGAAATGACAGCTTTGAGAGGTGTGAACTGCACCACACCTTGCAGAGCCCTGTTAACTCCGAAACCTGTAGAGGGCTACATAAATTTCATCATTAACTGTTTCACTGCTGATCATTTTAGCAGAGACATCCAGCTAACCTGTTTATCCTATAATCCTAAACGCCCTTCCTAACTGCAGAAAGCCATAACTTTTCCCTACACAGATCCCTAAATTTTCAGCTTCACCTGTGACAATTTCTATGATGCAGTAAGTGAAGTGTCATCAATACAAGGGACAGACCCTTCCCCCAAGAGAACAGTGGGATGTTATGGATCTCCACACAGTATTATGCTGGCCCCAAAGAATCTTACAGAGCCACAGAAAAATCTCTGAGAGCCAGCTGGCTGCACACACTCACAAATAACGTAAGAACGGCCAGACTGGGTCAGACCAAAGATCCATCTAGCCCAGTCTCCCGTCTTCCGACAGTGGCCAATGCCAGGTGCACCAGAAGGAATGAACAGAACAGGGAATCATCAAGTGATCCATCCCCTGTCACCCATTCCCAGCTTCTGGCAAACAGGCTAGGGACACCATCCCTGTCCATTTTGGCTAATAGCCATTGATGGACCTATCCTCCATGAATTTATCTAGTTCTTTCTTAAACCCTGTTATAGCTTGGCCTTCACTACATCCTCTGGCAAGGAGTTCCACAGGTTGACTGTGCATTATGTGAAAAAATACTTCCTTTTGTTTGTTTTAAACCTGCTGCCTATTAATTTCATTTGGTGGCCCCTAGTTCTTGTGTTATGAGAAGGAGTAAATAACACTTCCTTATTTACTTTCTCCACACCAGTCATGATTTTATAGACCTTTATAATATCCCCCCTTAGTTGTCTCTTTTCCAAGCTGAAAGGTCTCAGTCTTATTAATCTCTCCTCATATGGCAGCCGTTCCATACCCCTAATCATTTTTGTTGCCCTTTTCTGAACCTTTTCCAAGTCCAGTATATCTTTTTTGAGATGGGGCGACCACATCTGCACGCAGTATTCAAGATGTGGGCGTAACATGGATTTATACAGAGGCAATATGATATTTTCTGTCTTATTATCTATCCCTTTTTTAATGATTCCCAACATTCTGTTCGCTTTTTTGACTGCCGCTGCACATTGAGTGGATGTTTTCAGAGAACTATCCACAGATCAGATTCAGATGATCTGTTATTGCTCAGCAAGGGCTCTGAGGCCACAGTCCCCATCATAGCACATGGCACTTCTTGCTTTTTTCTGCTCTACATATTGTGGAGCCAATATTAACTTTAGAATCTAGTCCAGGAGTGACAGCTCGCTCTCGTTTCAGGCGCCTCTGGCTTGAGATGTTCTATTCCCTAACTTTTTTGTGTTTTGTTTTTGCATTTTCAATCAGGCCAACAGTGGTCCAAGTACAAACGGGTGTCAGTTCTTCATCACGTGTTCCAAATGTGACTGGCTGGATGGGAAGCATGTTGTGTTTGGTGAGTAGCTGCAGCACAGTGTGATATCCTGATCATTTACCTCTTCCGGTTCAACCACACGGTTTTTGTTGTCGTTTCCAATTAATCTTACACAAGTGGAGTAAGAGCTTCTATGGAAATGTGCCTCGAAACCTACTGCTATTGTGAAAGCAGTAATAAATCAGCCAGCTAATGACGACTTGTTTGAGGGAAAGATGGGGAGAACTGATGCTTATTTTATGTGGCGGGGTGAAATAGCAGTGACACTAGAGTTTGCATACCGTAATTTTACAAAAGCACACGTTTTGTGTCATCGACTGTAAGATCTTACGGGCGGGTCTGTCTCATCTTATTACTGAACTAATGTCTAATATTGGCTCTTTATTGGGCCCTCAGGGCACTATGCAATATAAATATTTGATTATAGCCATTTTTGCTGTTCACAAACAACACAAACTGCATCTCCATCAGTGGGATTATTTCTAATAATACACCAGAGTCTCAGTCTGATTTCCATGCACGCCCTACCTGCTGGGAAGATGCACATTGCCTGTCCTGAAGATATAGACGCCAGCCCCATGTCTGGGAAGGTTGTAGTTGTATTATTTATGAACCCTTTATCAGATCTATAACAACTCATAGGCAGGGCCATCCTTAGGCATATGCAGAATACGCAGCTGCGTAGGGCACCATGTAATTTGGGGCATCAAATTTTGTGGTGCCCTAGGCAGCTGCATGCTGCGTATACGGCGCTGGCTCCAGCGGCCGGCCAGCCCCCCTGCTTTGCCCCCACCCCACCTCCATTCCACTCCTTCCCCCAAGCCCCCTCCCCCGACGCAACGTGGCCTGTGGGATTAGCGGGGGTCCTGTTGCCGGCAGAAAGGGTCGGGCCCACACTCAGCAGCGGCGGGAAGTAGAGCGACCCGGCTCCAGCCCGCTGTGTCAGCTCCCAGCCGCCACTGCTGTGAGTGCGGGGGTGGGCCTGATCCCTTCCTTCAAGCCCCCTCCCCCAAGTGACAGGGCAGGAAGCTGGGGGAGTGGAGCAGGCTGAGGCCGGGTCACTCTGCTTCCCGCTGCCACCGGTGAGTGCGGGGGGGGGGACTCCTGCTGCAGGCGCCAGGCGCCCCACTAGTCCCCTGGGCCTCCCTGCCCTGCTGCTGCCCCCCACAGCTCCTGCCCCTGCAGCCCTTGAGTGCAGCCACCCACGCCCTGCAGGAGGGGTGCAGGTTCTCCGGCTGCGTAGGGCACCACCGTAGATAGGGACGGCCCTGCCCACAGTGTCCAGTGGTTATAAATGGGTGAGACACATCGCTGGGGCAAAGAATGGTGCATGGAGAGGTAGCCAAGTCCAAAGCAAAGGAATCTCAGAGGTATGAGAAATCAAAGTATCATCTGTACTTGACAGTCTGGGACTACAGAAAAGGTGAATAGTGCAGTATAGAACTGCTACTAGTAAATATTCTTTTTCCCTTACAGGTAAAATTGTTGATGGGCTCCTTGTCATGAGAAAAATTGAAGTAAGTTTAGTTCCCCATCCTGTTCATGAATGTGCATGCCAGATAGTCGCATGCGGGAGTAATCCGGGCTTCATGTTCCCTCCCTGTCCATGTGCAGGATAATGATGTAACAATAGTGCCAGGGAGCGCCTTGCAGGGGCTGTGCCCTCTGCAGTGAGGGAGTCCGTCATGTAGATTTACTTAGCAAGACACAGGGAGTCTTGTGCTGTGCAGTTGGAGGAGCCAGTCAGTGACTAGGGAAGCTTGTTCAGATGGGTTTGGTTGTGGCGCATAGAGTCCTTTCTGCAAACCTGTTGGATTTACAAGTTGAGAACAGGAATGTAAGGGAGATTGGTTCTGTGATACTGCATGGTAATGAGAAGAGGATGATAAATTCCCTGAGTTCTTCAGTTGAAATCTAATCAACACCTTCTAATAATCAATATTAAACAAGGTTTCCAAAGGGTTTCCAGGTGCTGCAAATACACACATCTGTGTGTTGACCAGTGAATTCCATATTTAGAATGGTGTGTGGCTAATAAACACACAGGGCCTGTTAATATACTCTTGTAAAGTGTCAGTGTACCACTGTGATGGATGGCTGAATAGACAGAGCACCCCCGGCATTCTGCTTTCTGACTGGGTGCTTGAGTGCAAATATTGGATCCCAAAGCTGAGTCAGGAATAGAGAATCGAGAGGGGGAAAGACATTACAGAGCTGACAACAGCTCCACTTAAAGCCTCATGTTAACCTTCACCGAGAAGGTCTCATGCTGGGAATCATACAGCCCAATTCCTTTATTGCTAGCTCTGTTTTAAGAAAACCACTGTATAGGTGACTTTTGTTAAAATTTTCTGTTAGATATACAGAAAATGTAAACTTTCCTTGATCACCTTGTCTGATTGCAGTAAATTGGAGGTGTAGCCAACACAGAAGAGACCAAAACTGCCACGTAGCTTAGAGTCATAACCAGGGCTGGAGACCAAAAGGAGATTCCTCTTGCGGTGTTTCCCACCAGAAGTGCTTTAATAAACAAAAGGAGGATAACTGTGTACGTCTTTTGTAGGATGCCCATGATGGGCATAGTAGAAAGAAATTAAGTGACACACACAAAGAGCATTGGCCCAAGTCCAGAATGATGTGTGATTTCTGAGGATGCACCTGGTGCACCCTTACTCAATAGCTCCCCCTTCTGTACAAATGTGGGGTTGCTTTTCTCTTTAAAGTGACACTAATTACAGTATCAAAGACCTAAAGCCAAAGATATCTCAAGTGACATGATCCATATTGCATCTCACTGGAAGCTACATGTATCTTTGCTGCCTTCACTTTGTTCCCCATTTGTGAGGTCAGAGTCTCTCCCATGTCTCTCAGCTCTGCAGTAAAGAGGCAGTTAGCTGGCTCTAGGTGAGGGTCCAAGGACATTGCTGCAGAAGAGAAGAGGAAATGAAAGAGCAGCAGTCATGAGTCAGACATAGTCCAAGTGCAGTTCCTCCGTATTCGTGAGGCTCAGTTACCAGGAGTCTCTTATCCAGCCTCTCAAAATAGCTTGTGACTCCCACTAACTTGCTGTGTATTTATACCTTGTAACTGTGTGGATTTTTTGTCCCCCCAGAATGTACCTACTGGTCCAAATAACAAACCCAAACTGCCAGTGGTCATCTCGCAGTGTGGTGAAATGTAGAGCAATGAATGCAGAAATCTCGGTAGGTCTGTCAGTCTTCATCAGTTTGGCTGAGAAACTATCTGATAAGAGATGATTGTGATTGAAATCCATCTGTCACTGCCTTGAAGTTCACAATGTGCGGTTCTGCCAGCTTGCAAAGAGTGAAGAGTTTCATATGTTGTGGGAGATGCAAGTAAACCTAAAAGCCCAAGAAAGTAACTGCTGAAGAATAGAGGATTCTGTATTTCCTAATTCAAGGCAGCTTTGGCATCGTCCCTCCTGGGGCCTGTGTCGTGAAGTTGAAGCACTTGCTGTCAGGATGGGGAGGGGTCTTGTCAGCTCCTGAAAGTCAGGTTGCTGACACGTGGTACATCCTCTCTTCTGACTACAGAAGGTACCATTATCCTGATCCATGGTCAGATGTTTCTAGCACTTACTATGCTCCTGGCCACCGTGGCTTGCTCACATAGTCGTTGGTACTTAAGGTCATAGACAGCACCAGAGACCTTGTATTAAAGTATAGTTCTGTCTTCCCCACTCATCCAGCTACTTCATCCCAGACAAAAAGCATTTCAACACGTGTGCGCAGATTACAGCATGTCAATCTGCAACTTGATTTTAAAATGAATTTGCCAAACATCTGTTTTTGTTAGCCTTTTAGCCACCGACTTTCAGATTTTAACAAGCAGATAGTGGCATGGCGGCACTGCATACGATTCCTCTCCACTCATATCATCTGCAAGATGAACAGAACTGCTTTCTGAAAACAAGCTAAGCCCAAATCATTCCCAAAATACCTGCATAGAGACAACCTTCCCTGCCACAAGGAAGGGTTTAGATCCACAGTGCTTTGCAGACATTTAGGACCCAATCCTGGAAGGTGCTGAGTGCCCTCAGCCCCTTAGAGAAGGCATTCAGTGCTTTACAGGATTGGGCCCTCAATAAATGAAGTCTCCAGCTGTGGTAGGTAAGTAAAATCACCATTCTGTGCTGTTTCCTCTCCCCAGTTCACAGTTCCTGTTAGCTGGGTACTTGTGCTAAGATGATGGACAGTGAATTCGTTGTTAATGTTGAGGTTGAAATTGCCATCTTGAGGTTTCAGCTCCCCCACTGGGCTGATGCGTGGAGCACGCTTCACTCAGAGGCGGGCGTTAAGTTGCTTACAGACTTGGGCAGGTGTTTACACTCTGCTCACAGTTTTCAAAGCTGCTTTTGCAGTTGTGGTGGCTGGGAGCATAATTTTTAAATGAAAGCTGAGATTCTGCTGCAGATTCCATGGCCACAGAATTGTGGCCTTCCCATGTCCCTGACA